GTAGCATTAAAACAAGCTAGAAACTTAGTGTAATTCTTGATGTGTGTACCTAATTCATCATCATGTTGTCATTTTTGCCTCTACTTGTACTATTCCTGCACCCCACCACCCTTGTCCAAGCTACATTGATCTTTCATTTAGACTTATATAATAGTATTCATACTGGTATATTGTCACCATTCTTCCACTTCTTTTATTTTCTAACTTGTGCCCCTTTTTTAAAGACCACAGTTCAAGGTCTTCCTTTTTTGCCCTTAGGACCAAGACAAAAATCCCATAATATGACTCATAAGGCCCTGTAAGATCCCCGCCTACTACCTTAGGCTATTTTTTATTTCTTTAATCGAGATACTTCTCAGAAGAATATTTCCATGTGCTCCTTCTACCACAACTACCTGGTGCCTGCATCTTAGCTATGTTACTCTACCTTCCCACCTGTAACTATGGGTGAATTTTTCATTTCCTTATTTATGACCAGCCCTTCTACAAATTCTCCCGATTCCATTCCCTGTCATTTTAGAATATCATTTTATCAGATGTTCTAAAGAACATCACTTTATCAGTTGTCCTGTTTCTCTTCTGCATTATCTGTTTTTTCCTCTACAGATCATTCTGATCAGTATGCAGACATGCTGTTATTTCTTCCATCTTAAAAAAACAAAAACCCTCAACTCTTAACCCTGCATTTCATTCTGGCTATAAATCCATATGTATGTTCCTCTTGACAACAGAACTGGAAAAAATTATCTATATTTGCTGTATCTAACTTCTCTCCTGCTGTTTTCTTTGAAGCCACTCCTGTCTATTTTGGTCTCCACTGCTCCATTGAAACTGCTCTCTTCATTTATGTCCATGTTGCCAAGTCCAATGGTCACTTCTCAGTCCTCCTCTTAACTTTGGCCTAGCCATTTACACCCTCCTTGAAATACTTGCTTTACTTGGCTTTCTTTGCTTTTGGTTTTCCTTTACCCCATTGGTTGTTTGCTCCTGATCCCTTCTCTTGGTTACTGCTAGTCTTTGACCTCTGTATGTTGTGAGAATGCCCGAGGGTCAGCCCGCAGACATCTTCCCTTCCTTATGTGCTGGTATGCATGTTTATTCTCAGATTTAATACCATTTATGTGTTCTTGGCTACCCATGCTTGTATCTCCAACCTGGACCTCTCCTGTGTGTTCACATACCCACCTTGCTCGATGTCTAGTAATAGCTACTTACTGTGCTTCCTTCAGGTCTCTGTGTCCACATTTCACCTGAATGGAGAGATCTTCCCTGACCCTCCCTCGTCCCTTCCCCTATATAAAATGAAGCAACTCCTCCCCTACTTATCTTTCTTAATTGTTTTCTGGAGCATTTATTGCATAATGCTTTATTTATAGCCTTTTGTTCCCTATTGGTATGTGGCTCCATGAGGCTAGAGTTCTTGCTTGATTGGTCACTTCTGTGTCCCCAGTACCAAGAACAGTTCCTGGCTCATAATACCTAAGCTTTGATTATGTATTGAAGAACCGAATGAGTGAGTGAATAAACGCTGGCCGCCTTTTAGTACTTCATTCTTTCCACATCCCCCCCTTCCTTGGGAACTTTGTACATTCAGTTCCCTCTATTCTTCCATTCCTTCCCCTTAGGCAGCTTCTTGTCTTTCACTTCTGTAAGCATCACTTCCTCATCAAAACTTTCCTGTCCTGATTGTAAGTTCTCATGTTCATGGACTTCTCACTTCATGGAAAATTTGCAGTTTTCCATTTATTTGTGCTGTTCTTTGATAATGTCTGCCTCCCCACCCCCACCCCACCCCCACCACTCCAGGGTATTTTGGTAAATCCTAAGGTCCTAGCACAGTCAGATTCTCAATAAATGCAGCATTTGTTGAACGAGTAAATGAACAAATTAAAATACTCTTATGAGCCATATAACTACTGACCCATTTGAGCTAATAAATCTTTATGACATTTGCTTAGAAAGAAAATAGTATTAAAATTCAGTAATTTCCATAATTTTAAGTTGACATAGAATCTAGTAAGCATAATTATAATTGACAACACTGCCTTTGGCCAAGAATTGACTGCGCTGTAGCCTCCCTCTATTTTGGGAGAGTTCCCTTCAGTGAAATCAGTCCTTATCAGATGGCCGTCCAGCTTTTGCCAGAACACTTTTTATTCTAACTCCAGAATCTGGTCTGCTGTAACCTTTACCCTTTGGTTTTGGTGTTGCTTTCTTTGACATGGCAGCCCTTCATATTAGAGAGTTATCATCATGCCCCTTCAATGTCTTATCCTTTATTAAAGGAAATAGTCTCACTTCCATTGAACATTTTCATCTCTTTTAAGGCCATGTAATGCTCCTGAGGGATTTTATATAAAGTGTATTCCAACATAGATCCTATCTATATACCAACTATGAAAGGATTACTTTAAAAAGATTTTATGAATAAGGCTCTTGCACTGCATATTGGGTAATAGAGATGACAATTTCCAATATATTAAATGATAAAAGTATACTTCAGTAGGAAAATTATTACAAATCTAGCTTTACTAACCTTGGTTAGTAATTTAGTTCTGTATTGAGCTCATTGTACTATTGAATATGTACATATAAATATTAAATAGTTTTGGGAGAAAAATAGCTATTTGAGTTCTTATTGCTAATAGGTCAAATGCTATATTAATGGATGTAATTCTCACACAACTTTAGGCACTATTTATCCCCATTTTATATGTGAGGAAACTGAGGTACAGGAATCTTAGAAAGAAAAGATTTTTTGTTTTCTTTTTAAGATTTTTATTGGGGAATTCGGGGAGGGTAACAGCGTTGGGAAATCGGAAAGGGGAACAGACAAGTTGCTGTCCTTTTGTTCTTCAGTCTAGTTGTGGAGGAAGTCGCTTCACTGGCCCAAGTTGGTATTATCATTGCGCTCTTCCCGGGCGAGGCAGATCAGTCGCCAGCCTCTGGACGGCCGCTCACAGTTGCTCATGGCAGCCCACTGCAGCAGAGACTGCAACCTATGCCGACGACTCAACGGCAGCCCAGCTCCAGGTCAAGCTGTTGTTCACCATCTTAGCTGTAGAGGGCGCAGCGTCACTGGCCCTCATGTGGGATCTGAACTGGGGCCCTGCTGCTCAGAGCTGGCATTCCAAGCCAACTCTTAACCAACGCGCCACTTCGCTGGCCCTAAAAGATTTTCTTAATCTCATTGTCACTGCAGGCAACATAAACATGTTTAATCCTACTTATAATTTTGTTTTATGATCTCACAAAATAAAATAGCCATGTCAAACTGGTTAGGTCTCATTGCTTTAAGAGTCAAGTCTCTTTAGGGGGAATTTTCTCCAGTGTTTAACTTAGGGGTGGTTCAGTGAAGTCTTTTATCTGTCCTGCTTTGTTTTGTAGGTTTGAAATAAGGGCATTCAGTGGCTCTGAACCATGTATACAACTTTTATGAAATTTTCATTTTTTCCTCTAAGGTTTTAAATTTCTTAATTACATAAAAATATTATGCTGTAAAATAATTCCAAGACTTCATTTTGCATGAAAGAAAGGTAATCTGTCTCCAGTTTCCTCAGAATTTTTCGTCACTAATATCTTCTCATTAAAAGTAGAAAAATACTTCTGTTCTTTGCTTTAAGGTACTTAAACATTCAATAATGACTTTTTAATAAATGAAATTAAAAACATGTGGTATTTGGCCCTCGGTAGTGCTGTAGTTCTGTCTGGTCGGGTTTGGGTCCGAGCTCGGGATACCTGGGTTCGAGCCACAGCCCCTCGAATTATTGCTGCTCAACCTATTTTTCTTCTGGCCAATGTAAATAATAATAGCCTCCCTGAAATCAAAAAACAAAAAACAAAAAAACCATGTGGTATTTGTTCCAGAACTCAGTCACACTGAGGAAATACTTTTTTTCCCACAGCTATTTACTATTTTTTGGAGTAAATGCAAAGATTTTTTCTTTTTTTTATGGATACAGGCCTCTATAATGACACTTATAGTAGAAACTTAAATTATTCTTCTTTGATCTCATTTGTTGTCTTAGAGAAATTGCCTCAAAAAAAATTTTAGGGAAATATTTTATGCTGAAAATGTTGATTATCCAAGGTTGAAAACATTTTACCTGAAAGCTTAAAGACTTGATTCTTGGCAGTAAGATGATCATTTCAGTTTCGGTATTATTTTAATTAGTGGATGTGTGACAACTGAAATGTTTTCTTCTCTGAAGTTTCAGTGGGGAGCTTTATGTCTCCCCTTCTCCTACTTAAAACTTTTTGTCTGTAAAGAATAAAGAATCTCTCAGCTTAGGATCCAATGCAATTCTGTATTGGGGATTTACTTCTAGAAGTGCATTAAACACTTTCCTGTAGCTATTTGCTTAAGATGCTGCATCAAGTAGATGCCATGGTTATCCTCTTCTCTGTGTCTTACTCTGCTTGTTCACAGCCCCTTCATAAACCTGTGCATCCTCTGCTTGTCTGGTCTCTTTTGTTTTTTGTTTTTCCCCCAGATTGAGAATAGGTCTTTACGTCTGACTTGCTGACATGGTGCTTTGGTTGAGTAACTAGCTGTCCTTTCTAGATAGTTCAGAAATGAGCTTTAGCAACAGGAGTAGTTAAAATGGAGAAAGCTTAGCTATTCCTTGTGCCTTGTGTTAAACATGAGTTTAGAGGATTATGACTACATATAATTATCAGGATCTGCTAGACAGGACATCTGTTTTACTTTTTACTCATTACATTGCTATAGAAATAGCATCTTTTTAACTTAATGTAAAAATTATTTTGTGTTCTAGCTTGCACTGGTGGCCTAATTTTTGAAATGTGCTTTCAGGAAAAATCAGCACATGGTTAGTGTAAATTATCTTATTGGTACTAGATACTCATTATTAGTCTGAAAATTTTTGTTTTCTAGCTGTAAAGTAAGTTTCTGTGAATGTTTGGATTTTCATTTATTCTAGACTGCATTAGAATTGTTTGGTATATTCAATTGTTTTTCCTTTGGTTTTATTTCCTAGGTTGCACGTTTTCAAAAAATTCCTAATGGTGAAAGTGAGACAATGATTCCTGTATTGACATCAAAAAAAGCAAGTGAATTACCAGTGAGTGAAGTTGCAGGCATTCTCCAAGTAAGTGCTTGGTAGGGAGGAAAGGAGTAAATAGTAAAATTGGTTTGCTTAGACTGTATGTATAAGTGCTGTCAAATGGAATTTCTGTGATGACAGAAATACTCTGTTCTACGCTGTCCAATACAGTAGCCACTAGTTAAACATGACTATTGACTACTTTAATTGTGGATAGTTGAGAGGAGGAATTGAATTGAATTTTATTTAATTTTCATTTGTTGAAATTTAGATAGCTGCCTGTGGCTAGTGGTTACATGATGGGACAGTGTAGTTCTAAATCATTAGCATTACCAGGAACTATTAGTGCTGTGTAAGGATTAGTTGGATTACGAAAATAATTTTATTACTAACATAAATAGAATCAGGAGATTATCTTTTTTAAATGTTTTCTAAAGTAAAGTAAAAGCTAAGTACAAGTTCAGAACTGCAAATAAACTTTAATCTTTCTAGTTTTATAAAGCACAATTTAATGAAATATAAAGAAAAGAATATTTTTTATTTTTCCTTAAGAATTCACATATTTTAATGATGGCATTTAAAATATCGGATATCCTCTATTTGATTTTTTTCTTTGGTTGTTGTATTGATACTTTGTTTTAAAACCATTTATTTTAAATATATTTAAGTGTTGCAAGACTTATTAAAGTGTATTACAAAATTGTTGGTCAGAGAAACTGATTATTTTAGGGATACAGGTAATTTCATTTTTTAATGATAGTTATAATAAAAAATGATGATAGACAGTGACTGACGAATGTAGGTGTATTCCTAGAACATAAAATATCCCAACAGCCAGTTCATCTTAACTTCATTATTCTGAGTAATTTACAAATCACAAATTTTCTGCCTGAAATAATTATATGGTCTAAGAGCAAAAAAGGTATTATCAACCTCAAGGGTTTGATAGACTTAGAGAATAAGGAGGGTGATTATGGCCCATTGAATGTTCATTTGGAGAAACTAATTTTAGAAAACAACAAAACAACACTGAAAAAAAAAAAGCTAAATAAAATGTACTGATATTTTGCTTTCTGTGTGTGGATTGTTTGTGTTGTTATTCCTCTTTCCTCATAGAAAATTGTAAGTTTTTTGTTTGTTTCTTAAATTCTACCTTGTTGCTTACAATTAAAAACATTTTATTGAGGCATAATTTGCATAAAATACAATGTAGCCATACTAAGTGTATAGTTTGCATTTTGACAAATGTAACTACCACAATTAAGATAACAGAACATTTTCATCACTCCAGAAAGCTCCCGCATGTCCCTTTGCAGTTAATCCTCCCCAATGTAGTCCGTCTGGTCCCAGATGACCCACTGATATGCTTCCTGTCACCATAGTTTAGTTCTGACTATTGTAGAAGTTACTATAAATATTGTCATACAGTATTCCTTTGTGTTTTTCTTCTTTTGTTCTCTGCTAACATTTTTAGTAACTTTTATATGTAAAATCTAATAGGCTGACCTTCAGAATGGTCTAAACAAATGTGAAGTAAGTCATAGGCGAGCCTTCCATGGCTGGAATGAGTTTGATATCAGTGAAGATGAGCCACTATGGAAGAAGTATATTTCTCAGGTGAGATACTTTTATTTCCTCATCTGCTGTGTAATTTACATGTGTTTTCATTAGTGTAGCTGTTTACTTTTGTGCGATTATTTATAGAAAAAGGGAATAAAAATTTTAAATGTTCTTTTTAAGTAAAATTTTCACTTTGTTAGTGTTTACTGTTAGGTTGAAATTTCTATAATTTTTAATATGCAAATCTTTAAGGGCTTATGGACATATCACATGGAGGTGATACTGTTATCAGAAGTTTCCTTTGCAGATGCCTAACTTATACTTTTTAAATTATAAGAATGCTAGTTAGAATAATATGGCCAGCTTAGAAAATTAGTAAAAGTAAGTTAGGTAATTTGAATCCAGACTGCCTGGGTACATATTCCAGTACATTTATTTCTACTAGCTATATGTCTTTATTATTCTCTGAGCCTTGTATGTAAAATAGGGACAGTAATCTTAGGCATTAGAAAGCTATTAATAGATGATAGCTATTTTTAATTATGTTTTATCAATATCCTAATCTTTTCAGAAAGACTTATTGTAGGACTTTTTCTTATCTTCATAGCAGGTATGCTAGTGTGTAAAGTTAAAAGAATCCTATGGCTAATTTTCAACTAGTAGAGTTAGTTTGCCAAACAAATTCCTTTTAGTAACCTGCAGGTTCCTTTTTTAAAGAATATATGTTTAACTTTTCTGAAGGGCCTTGCCTGTTAATGAGCCCAAATTTACCAGTATTATCCTTGTAAACAAATTTGTCTAAAATAGAAAAACTGAATTTTTAGAGATGAAAAGAATCTTGTGTGTATCTGTCTTGTTTTTACGGAGTTTTTTTATATGCATATTTGTATTCTGACATTTAACCACGTTTCCACATTACCTAGACCTTCAGGAAGTTTCCTCTGGATTTATAAACTGCAATGATTTGACTTATCCCTAGGCAGCATGATTTAGTGTTTTACTTTCTTGACCCTGTTTCACAGCTAGAGTACCTGCATCATGGGATTGCTGTGAGAATGAAACAGTGCCTGTAATGTAGTTAAACGCAAGCAACAATTAACAGTAAATATCAGTTGTCAGACATAAAGCATTGGGTGACTCTTTACTGCTGTACAGAGAATACTGAATTTGTTGTTTTGCAAACATTTGTCTGGAGCCTGCAAGTCATGTCCTTCATACTGAGGCACAGCATTTTTAGTGGGGCGGGGGTTGCTGGAAGACCAGGGACCTTCCCCTCCAAGTGTGATGATGACAGCTAATAATTGAAGGGGGTTTTATGGTGTAACAGTGCTTTAATACACATTCTTAGTTAGTTCCTACCACAATCTTTGGTATAAGGTACTATTTTACTAGATGAAGAACCCCCGAGGCTTACAAAGATTAAGGTCACACACAAGTGGCAAGGGCTGGATTCAAACAGGTACTCTCGGACTTACTCAAATGTGTGGTTTGTCAGCTCTGAACCACATTGCGGTTTTAGTTTTATTTTGCTAGAGCAGTAACTTTCAGCCCTCTGTGATTTAAAGTCACTTGGGGAATGCTTTGAAAATGCTGAAGCCTGGGCCCTATGCCCAGAGATTCTGATTTAATTGGTCTGGTATGAACCTGGGCATTTGTTAGAGGTTCTTCACATGATTCTGATGTGAGGAAAAGTTGGAACTACTGTTAGGGAAGGGAGCCGTAAAGGGAGTGGCTGGTGGTGGCATCTCACTGCAGACCTGTGATCCGCAGGGGCTGGGCTTTTTGCTGGGATGGGATTTTTTGTAGCCTAGTTACGCCTAGTTACTTTGCAGCTTTGACAGTGATTATCATCACTTCATCAGAGAAAGAGATTTTGGCAACACAGCTGTGATGTTTAAGGAGTAGGATGTCCCACTGGAAGAATTTGGGGTAGCTCTGGTGCTTGGTTATTTAAGTGCTGCCTGATTAGGTTGGTGCTGTGGTCTTGTTTCTTTATACACTGTTGGCTCTGCTAGGTACGTATCAGGGAGACCAGCCTTGGGAAAAGGCTGCTTCTGTGGAGAGGATCTTACTTCCTGCTCTTAGCTGCCCCAGGCAGTTAGTTATTCTTGTGGTGTGTGGGTCAACCACAGAATTGTAATCTACACTAATTTATAGTATAGGGATTTGACTTATAATTTAGGTGTTCTACCCAGTGTTTAACTTAAATCTTTAGCTTAAAAATCACTTTCCACTTATTCTAGCCTCAGTAGAAATTCAGAACAGCTATATTTATTAAATTAATATACTAAAATACATGTGTACCATAAGGAATTGGTAATTTCTTAGTTTTAAGTATTGATATTTAATTTTCTTTTTTTCTGAAAGGGAGCTGTTATGAAGTGGTGAATTTTAAATTTAGTGAAGTGTAAACTTTTTTTTGTTAATTGAAGAGATATATAAAATAAACCAAATGTAGACTTGCAATTTTCTAATCATGCCCCAATATTTTTTTAAAGCTTTGCTGCAATGGAACACAACTGTCATTCATAAAAAACTGTTGAATTGCTGTTTGTTTTCACTTTCAGTTTAAAAATCCCCTTATTATGCTGCTTCTGGCTTCTGCTGTCATCAGTGTTTTAATGCATCAGTTTGATGATGCCGTCAGTATCACTGTGGTAAGAATATATTTTTAAACTGCTGATTAATCATATAAATTAGGATTGGCTTTTATTTTGGGAAATGAATTATTGAGAGATACTGTAATGTTTTTCCACTTTTTTGGGTTAATATCCAAATTGCTTTTAGTTGCAGTAATCTCAAGTAACGTTCAAGGGTCAGTGATTGGCACACATGAGACTTATTTAACAGTCTGGTATTTTAATAAAGAAGAAAAATAAAAAATACTTTATAATAATTTTCCAGTTTAGGAAAATTATTAGGAAAGCAAACTAATTTTCAATTTAGTTTACTTTCCTGTTGAGAATATATTTTGACTAATTGTGAACTAAAGCCTCTCACATTTGTGAAATTAAAAATATTATTTAACAATGCACACTACATTTACTATGTAAGATTTTATTCTTTCCAGCTAGATTATTCTACCTTTTCTTGAAAGTTTCCTCACCTTTTTATTTTTTCCTTGCCCCTTGATTCATTGTAATATAAAAATTTATAGTAAATTCAACCATTGATTAATGCAAGTGTATTATGTTTTCAAGCGCAGTAGAAATCAGTATAGAACTGCAGTTCTCGAACTCTTGCTTGTCAGCTCCCAAGAGTCTCTGAGCCCCCGTTCAGGGAGCATGTGAGGTCAAAATTATTTTCATAATACTATAAAACATCTTTTTTTTGTTGTTTTACTATACACATTTGCATTCAGTGGCACAAAAGCAATGGTGGGTAAAACTGAGCCTTGGCTCAAATCAAAATAATGGCACCAGACTGTACTAGTAATCATTGTTTTCTTTCATTGCTTCTCTTAGGAATGTTTTTGATAAAGCAGTAAAAATTAATTTTATTAAATCTGGACCCTTGAGTACATATTTTTTTAATATTCTTTGCAATGAAATGGGAAGTATACATAAAGAATTTTTGTATATTGAAGTATAGTGGTTGTCTTGAGGAAAGGTGATTGTGGCGAGCTAAACTAATGAACTTTTGCTTGAAAGAATGACTGATAGACAAACTGGTTATTAAGACTTGGATAACTGGCATATTTTTTTTTGAAAGAGTAAAATGAGCCTTTCACTTCAAGAAAAACAACTGACAGAATTCGGTGCTAGTGATAAAATTCAACTTTTAAGTGATCATTAGAATTTTGCAAAATTTTTATGCATTACTGTGTGCTGAATAGCTTCCCAATATTTAAGACTTTATTCTAATGAGATCAGTAGTGATTTCAATGAATGGGACTTTTTTTTCCTTTTAGAAATATGACAACATTTGAAAGATTTGAATAACCAAATCAATATTTTCTAAAGGACAAGTGCATGATGTTACAATTTTTTAATGATAAAAGATTCATTCAAAATGCAAGCTAGATCAATGTATTTTAATATAACAGATTATGAAAATTTCATTGACAGTTTTATATTCTACATTGCACATTACTTTTAAGTAACTAACACTTGTCTGATTTTGGTGTAGTAGCTTAGATTACTACCCACAATCATCTGAAAAAGCTTTTAAAGTACTCCCCTTTTTTCCAACAATATCTGCATGAGGTTGGATTTTCTTCATATACTTGAGCATTATCAACATGTTATAATAGATTGAGTACAGAAGCAGATATGAGCATCCATCTTTCTATTAAGGCAGACATTAAAGAAAGAAAACTTGAAAACTGCCATTTTTCTCACAATTTTTTTATAGGGGGGGATATTTTTCATAAAAAATATTATATGTATTAACGTGAGGTGTATTATTTTTTATATGAATTAATGACTAGAAATGAAAACAGTAATTGAAAAAAGTATTTAATATGGTAACTATCAGTTGATATGACCCACATAAACAAAAGCTGGTCCTCAGTTTTTTAGAGCATAAAGGGATCCTGAGATCAAAAAGTTTGAGAAGCTGTCCTAGGGGAGGCAAGACACTTCTGAGTTTCTTCCCTCACAGATCTCAGGTCAAAATTGTGATTTCTTACTGAGCTGATCTCAGTGCTTAATGTCTAGTATATTGGGACTGCAGATAGAGTCAGAAAAGTAAATTAACAATTAATGGTTATTTCTGAAGTTATAATGTCTGATTTAAAAGGATGTTTCTTTGTTTTGTTTAGGCAATACTTATTGTCGTCACAGTTGCCTTTGTTCAGGTGAGTAGGTAGCCTATTTTGCCAACATGGAAATGATACTTTAGTTAATTGCTTAAAAAAATTAATATAGCTTATTGCAAAATGTCTAGTTATTGGGGGTGGTGATGTTAGTCAGAGCAATTTATTATTTTTTTTGAAATAATTTCAGAAACAAACAACTCTCTAGGGAAGTTTGTGAGATTACTTGACTGCTTTGATTTAGGTAGTAGCATGAAGGAAATCTAATTTTTTATTTGATGATATTAAAGATAACTGAAGTAGATGGTAATGGCATTGTAATAGAAATATCCAGCAATAGGTTTTAAAATTTTTTTCCAATTGAAAAATTGGGCCAGGGTTTAAATTCCTCATTCTTCCATAAGAAGGGATGTTCTGATCTGGGTGAAGCTCCCTATTCAGCATAGACATTAAAACATGTGAAAAGGAACCCCTTTAAAAAATGAGTATACATCCTAATCCCTTCCCGTTTTATACCCATCTCCTCTAATCCCCCTCTCATCTGGCAGCCATCAAAATGTTCTTTGTGTCCATGAGTTTATTTCCGTTTTGCTTGTTTATTTCGTGTTTTTAGATTCTGCATATAAGTGAAATTATATGGTATTTGTCTTTGAACATATCTCACTTAGTGTAATACCCTCCAAGTCCACCCATGTTGTCGCAAATAGCAAGACAGCATTATTTTTATGGCTGAGTAATATTCCATTATATTGGGTTTTCGGAAAAGTCATGACGCATTTTTGCAACGAAAAACATAGAAAAAATATGTCATGACTTTTCTGACAACCTACTATATATGTACCACATGTTCCATTCATCTATTGATGGACACTTAGATTGTTTCCATATCTTGGCTATTGTAAGTAATGCTGCAATGAACATAAAGGTGCATACGACTTTTCAAATTAATATTTTTTTGTTGTTTTTTTTCTTAAAGATTTTTATTGGGGAATTGGGGAAGGGGAATAGTGTTGGGGAATTGGAAAGCGAAACAGCCAAGTTGTTGTCCTTCGATCTTATCTTAGTTGTGGAGGGTGCAGCTAGCTCAGCTCCAAATCCAGTTGCCACCTGGCCGCACGTCGGCAGCTTGCGGCTTCTTAGCTCAAGGTGCCGAGTTCAATCTTAGTTGTGGGTGTGCATAGCCCACCATCCCATGCGGGAGTTGAACCCGAAACCTTGTTGTTAAGCGCACGTGCTCTCACCAGCTGAGCCATCCTGCCACTTTTTGGCAGCTTAGTGGCAGCTCAGCTCAGGTGAAGCTTCACTGGCCCATATGGGAATCGAACTGACGACCCTGTTGCTCGGAGCTCATGCTCTTAACCAACTTAGCCACTTGACTGGCCTTAAGTTAGTGTTTTTGATTTCTTCAGATAAATACCCAAAAGTGGGATTGCTGTGTTATAAGGTAGTAGTTCTATTTTTAATTTTTTGAGACACCTCCGTGCTATTTTCGATAGTGGCTGCACGAATTTACAATCCCACCGACAGTACACAAGGGTTCCCTTTTCTCCACATCCTCGCCAGCACTTGTTTGTCGATTTATTGATGATAGCCTTTCTGATAGGTGTGAGGTGATACCTCATTGTAGTTTTAATTTTTATTTATTTCTCTGATGATTAGTGATGTTGAGCATCTTTTCATATGTCTGTTGGCCATGTGCATGTCCTCTTTGACTAATGTCTACTCAGGTCCTCTGCTCAAGTTTTAATTGGATTGTTCGTTTTGGTTTTTTTTTGGTGTTAAGTTGTATGAATTCCTTATGTAGTTTAGATATTAACCCCTTATCAAATTATCAGCGAATATCCTCTCCTATTCAGTAGGTTGTCTTTTAATTTTGTTTATGGTTTCCAGTTATAAAAATATCACAGGGATGTAAAGTACAGTATAGAGAATATTGTCAATAATATTGTAATAACCATGTATGGCGTGAGATGGGTACTAGACTCACTGGGGGATCACTTCGTAAGTTATATAAATGTCTAATTACTATGCTGTACATGTGAAACTAAGATAATATTGTATGTCAAATGTAATTGGAAATTTTAAAAAATAATGTAAATAATGTGGAGATGTCAGGAGTTTTATTGACAAGTGTAGGCATAAATAAAAACATAGGCTTAGTTTTATGTTTATTTAAATATCTAATTTCTGCAGATTGTAGAAGAATGTTGGCACGTCTCATTTTATTAGCTAAAGTTCTAAAGCATGGTCAGTAAGAATAGAAGGATTTTTCTAGTTGAGAGAAAAATGTAATATCCTGAAGTTCATGTTTCGAATCATAAGAGTATATTTTAAGTCATTGTGGTTATTTTCACATCAATGATTTAAGTTATTCCTTGGGTATTTACTGTCATTATTTAAGCCTCCTATGGTAATATCTAATTTAGTAAGTTTTAGTTTTATAGAAACACCAGTTGGAATCAGATTATCTGCAGCAAGTTTGTGAGCTGCATCAGTAAACTTTCAGGGATCCTGTTTCTAGGGAATCCTCTTGCTTATTAGAGCAGACAAATGTTGCCCTAGGCAGGTGGAGCTAGTCAGTCTAGCAGAAGTCATTCCAGACTGGGCATCATTCAGGGCAGCTATTCATTAAGCCATGTGGATGTTATCACCCACTGGGCCAGTAACTGGAACCCTCTTATATCTTGAATAATGCTATAGCTATATGGAGTGACGTTCTTCAGAAGGATTCCTACAATAGTGTCACTGTGTATGGAAGACCTTAGGAGCTTGTTCTTTTGGTAAATAGAGAGCGACTACCTTAAAAAAACCCCATAAAACTGTGATTTTAACATCGTGCGGAATTTTACACAATGATAATGTGTTATTCACTTTAAATGCAGTGACTAAAACCATGTGCTAAGTATCTTTATGATAAGTTTATTTGATTGAATATGCAAGAAAGAATCAAAACATTTATGAAGAGCTCAGCTTCAGATATGTAGATCTGGTTTCTTGTACAGATCGGAGCCTTTTCCCCAAATGTGCTTATGAAATGAGCAAAATATTCTATAAACGACTTAAAAAGCCTCTTTAAAAATATCCTATTTAACTAATGTTAGTTGAAGTTATCGTAATGTATTATCAGAAAACTCTACCAAAAATCTGTCAGGGGCCTGCCAAGTGGCTCAGTTGGTTAAGAGTGTGAGCTCTGAGCAATAGGGTCGCGGTTCGATTCCCACATGGGCCAGTGAGCTGCGACCGAGCTGAACTGCCACTGAGCTGCCAAAAGGTGGCAGGATGGCTCTGCTGGTGAGAGCACGTGCTCCTAACAACAAGGTTTCGGGTTCGACTCCTGCATGGGATGGTGGACTACACCCACCCCAATTAAGATTGAACATGGCACCTTGAGCTGAGGAGCCGTGAGCTGCTGACGGGCGGCCAGATGGCTACTGGACTTGGAGCTGAGCTAGCTGCGCCCTCCACAGCTAAGATTAAAGGACAACAACTTGGCTGTTCCCCTTCCCCAGATCCCCAATAAAATTTAAAAAAAAAATCTATCAAATTCTTAATGCTTTATCATTATTTAGTATTTGTGTTTTTATCTGTATTTTAGGAGGAGAGTGCTTTTTATATTCTTTTTTATGTCTGCCTTTATTTTCTGTCTCTTAAATCTCATTCCCCATCTCATTATATACTCTCAGAGTCATAAAAATAGCTAATTGTTTTATATAGTCATATATTGATGTCACCTTACAATAAATTTAATAACTTTTAGGCATTCATTAGAGATGGCTGTCAGGTGTTTGGTGGTGTGTTATGTTAAATGGTCATTTTGATATGAAGATATCTTTGTAGTTGTAGGAAGTAAAGGCTAAGAAGTCTGAAGAGGGTGGTAAAGATTGTGTGTCGTTTATTACTAGGTCTAGGATTGGTGAGTGTTTTCTAGCCTTTTATGAAATTTTGGGGTAAAACTTTCAAATTCCTCAATATTCTTGGTATGGTTGGGGGAGAGTTATCTTATAATTTTAATGTTTATAGAGTTACCTTACTCTTACATTTGTTCCTCTTGCCTGAGTAAAGACTGATTTAGTTATAAGTTATTCTTAACACAACTTTTCATTTTCTATTTGAAGAAGTTTGTGATGGGTGTGAAATTTTGATTAGTGTTAACACTGCAGTCATTTCAAAACTCTCCCCAGCTTTCATTCCACTACTCCCTCTTCTTTTTAACCTTAGATCAGAAGATGGGTATGCTTAGTGCAGACATTAGACAAAACATAGCAGTGTTGTTGCATGAAGCAAGACTGCCTATGGAAATGTGTACTAAGTAGCATAGTGAGGTGAAGGATGTCTCTGATCCTCAGCTATGATTGTATGGATGGAAGAAGGCTGGAGCATAACAAACAGAGTTAGGGTTCCTGAGAATTTCCCCTTTTGCATAATTCAGGGTGATGGGAAAGGTGTCGATTAAGGCAGGGCCAGCCACATCCCACTCCTTGTTTAACATATGTTCTTTCCAAGCAGACTTATTCCATAAACCTTTGCAGTTAGCATGGACTAAAATCCTTAAATGTTGCTCGCAAGTAATCACCTTTGACTTCTTTGGTCGTTAAACACTAAAAGTAAAATTATCTTAATTGTGAGGCTCAGTGATCTTAACTTTTAATGACTGAAAATTATATATTCTTTTGTTATACCAATCAGTTTTTTTTTTCATTTTTGTATGAATAACTTGACCTTAGGTTTTCACACTGAATATTAAATTATAAAATTGGGAATATTGTCAGAATTATTTGGTCACTATTATTTAATAAGGGACAAGCTTTTATATATAGGAATATAAGCACAAGTAAAGGACAAGATAAGAATTGAGGGAAATTTTAAAATAATGATTGAGATCAGTATTAAATCTAACATGGAGTCTGTTCATAGGAACATACATATTTACATTTCTTTGTAAATGATTGTTTTAATTATGTTCTGCTTTTTTAAAAATAGGAATATCGTTCAGAAAAATCTCTAGAAGAACTGAATAAACTTATGCCTCCAGAATGCCATTGGTATGATCCTTGTTTTTGATATGGATTTCAACTCTTAAAAATAGAAATTGAAGGGGTTGCCGGGTGGCTCAGTTGGTTAGAGTGCGTGCTCTGAACAAAGTTGCCGGTTCGATTCCCACATGGGCCAGTGAGCTGTGCCCTCCGCAACTAGATTGAAGACAACGACTTGAGCTGAGCAGCTGGTGGGCGGCTGGATGACTCAGTTGGTTAGAGCGTGTGCTCTTAACAGCAGGGTTGCCAGCTTGATTCCCACTTGGGATGGTGGGCTGCTCCCCCCCTGCCCGCCCCCTCAACTAGAGTGAAAACGGTGACTGGACCTGTAGCTGAGCTGCGCCCTCCACAACTAGATTGAAGGACAGCGACTTGACTTGGAGCTGATGGGTCCTGTAAAAACACAGTTACCCAATTAAAAATAAATAAATAAATAGAAATTGAAGTGACTAGTGTAGTATACATTGTGGCCCCAGATTTGTCTAAACATAAGGTAGAGACCATGAATCTGACATGAGAAAAATTCATGCTCAATTCAGTGTAGCAAGTTCAAAGTTCTGACTTTGAGATTCTTGAGACATGCATTTGTTCCACCAGATTTTTTGTGTACAACTATGTGCTAAGCACTGTTGTAAGTACAGTGATGTACGAATAGACCTAGATGATTCCTTAAGTTGCTTCAGTTTTCACACACTATATTTGGACAAGTTGTCAGTTTTTTCAATGCTTTTTTGACATCTGAGCATCTTAATTACCTAGAGCTCAAAAAGAATACTATTTTTGGTTCTTATATTTGCCATATCTTCTTAGAAGTGGTAATAATACAATAATTTTTTCTCAGGTAAGCCCACTGGAAATCATTTCTTTAAATAAGTGCTGTGGCTTTGTTTTTCAGCTGTGGTTGTTTCTGTTTCATGTTACAGTGTGCGTGAAGGAAAATTGGAACATACACTTGCACGAGACTTGGTTCCAGGTGATACAGTTTGCCTTTCTGTTGGGGACAGAGTTCCTGCTGACTTACGCTTGTTTGAGGTAAGTTTGGTGTCTTAGTCTGTTCGGGCCGCTATAACAAAATTTCACAGACCAGGTTGCTTCTAAACAGAAATTTAGTTCTCTCAGTTCTGACGGCTGGGAGGTCCAAGATTGAGGTGCCAGCATGGTCGAATTCTGATGAGGGCCCTCTTCCTGTTTCATAGCTGGTGCCTTCTCACTGTGCCCTCACATGATGGAAGAGGGAGGGAACTCAGTGGGTTCTCTTCTATATGAACACTCATTTCATTCACAAGGGCTCCACCCTTATGGCCCAAGCACCTGAAAAGTCCCGGTTCCTAATACCATCATCTTTGCCATTAGGATTTCAACACATGAATGGGGGAAGGGGGCGCACAGATATTAGACAATAGCATTTGGTGAACTACTTGTGAGAAGTAAATAAACTTGGATGTAGATTAAAGGATAGACATTAGTAGTTCTAAAGACTAACAACACACAGTTGATTTGAACATTTTGTTTTCTAGGTTAGAAAGGGCCATACATTTTTTTTCTTAAAATAAATATTTTTCCTTAGAGTCTTTTGAGGTGTTTGTTTAGTGAATCAGCAGATCTTCATGGAACTGTGTGTTAGACATTGTGGCAAATACAAAGATGATGTGATAGAATTCTTGCATTCAGTGAGCAAACTGTTGGTGTACACGAATCACTCATCATAAAATAGAACTTGGTGAGTAAAAGAAGTACTAAGAATGCAGCATGAAAATTTAAGAGAAGAAAGCAGTTACTTCTGACTTGAGTAAAATCAGAGAATACCTCAGACAGCAGGGTTTTGGTGTTGATAATTAAAGGGTGGTACTGGACAGAGAAGATAATGAAGTAACAGTATTTATCACTGTGAAGTGTTCGGTATATAATACAGAGCTCGGGTAGAAAGTGTATGACGGAATCAGATTCAGGAGGGCCTTGGATATGAAGCTCCTCTTCAGATTTTATTGGTTAGGAATTAGCTTTGAAGGTCATGGGCAGCTAGCAAATGATATTACCCTTAATCTGGCAACAGTATGTAGACGAGTACCTCATAGCCCGTTAGCATGCCAGTATTATCATCTATTATTGGAATTAACAGACTGTTATCACCTATAGAGCTGTCAGTCTTTGAATACCTATTATGTCCCAAAGTATGAGTATTCTCACATAAAGGTTATGGAAAACCTGAAGAACTTTTTCAACTTCATTTAATCTTGAAATAAAGACTTTTTTTCCAAATACTTAAAATTTATCTATCCTTAGATATCAGATTGGTGAATTGGTGAATGGAAATAATTGATAACATAGCAAGTATTGGGAATGTTATTAATTTTACTTTCTTAAATTCTTTCTCTTCTTGGTAGGTCCTTTTATGTTTTATCTTTTTACTCATTTCTTCTCCCTCCTATCCTTAATATTTAGTTTATGACAAAACCTTGGATTGTTCTTCCTTAGGGATTTGATAGGCCTGTCACTTGATATAAATCATCTTCCTCTTCCTGCAAAGAACCCTAATTTGAATTCATGGAGTTTAAGTCATCATTTATTTTAGAGTGCTTCTCTTCCAATTCAGAAACAGACCTCCTCAGCGGGATTGTCAGAAGATGGTGTTTCCTGTTGTTTGAACAATTTAAACAGTATAATGACATAGAAACTTCAGAACGTCATTTGGGTTGGTAAAGTGTTTTAGGGTTTTTATGTAAATAAGAGTTAATTGTTCTGTGAACTAATTATCTCAAAAGTTCACTTGCAAATGAGACAAGACTTAGCAGAATATGGACTAGTACATATTTTATCCACTTAGCAAAATATATATTGAAGACTTACTATAAATTCAATAAGAGGAAATTTATTACCCTTTAAAGTTTGATGTGAAAATTATTAGAGGCATATATTTTATGGAGTAATTCGTTAGTTATTGTTTTCCCCTACTTGTTAACTTTTCAGACACTTCATCAGCATGTATTTTACTTGTTAATGCTATAGTTAGGTTGAGTTTTCCACTTTTACATGTGTAATTGAACATCTATTATTTCCCCCTGTCACTTTTCTGCCCTATTTGTTTTACCTACTCCGTGGTACCACAAGCAGGCTTTTGCAACCACTTTCACAGTAGATTGAGATAATTTTCCTAAAAGATCTGAGGAAATCTTGTTCTGCTTTTTTTTTTTTTTTTTTAGCTGAGCCATCCTGCTACCTGTTGGCAGCTCTGCGGCTGCTCAGCTCGGGCTGGACTCGAACTGCTGTTGCTCAGAGCTCAAACTCTTGAGTGAGCTCTTAACCAACTGAGCCACTCGGCCGGCCCTATCTTGTTCTGCTTTTAATTTAAATGTACTGACTTAGGACATTATAAGGCTGATAAAATTGATTTCTCTTCTGGACCCAGAGGCTCCTAGATTTTTGGAATTAAGTTGGCTTATTGGAACGTTGTTTGCTGAATTTGGCTGTGGTGATGTTTGGATGATTTTGTAAGGCTAGCTGGTCATTTGATGTTCCTGCATGAAATAAACTCATTAGAATTTAAAGGAAACAAATCTCTTTAGTTAGCCTTGGGATATTATTAATTTCTTACAAAGTACATGGATTTCATTTTTAAAAAAACAGGCCCCTGGACTTCTGCAATATTAGGACACTTTTTGTGAACTTGGCCGAGGCCAGGCTTGCCACTTGAACATTGTCATGCTGCAACCCTAAGGATTCCTGTCATAAATTTCAGCGGTTCAGATTTTGGCTGTAAGTCTTGCCTGGGCCTTTAGTAACATCTTGTCAGCATGTTTAGAGAATTGATTGCTGTACTACATTTATTTTATATTATCTGTTCTTAGGCTCTGTCTTAAGTCAGCTCAGGCTGCTGTAGTAAAATACCATAGACGGGGTGGCTTAAACACTTATTCCTTACTGTTTGGGGGCTGGGAAGTCCACAATCAGGGTCTGGCAGAATTTGGTTTATGGTGAGGGCTCTCTTCTTGGCTTGCAGTCTTGCTATGTCTTCACATAGCAGAGAGAGTGATTTTTTTTCTTCTTATAAAGCCACTAATCTCATTATGAGGGCCTCACTCACAGGACCTTGTCTAACCATAATTACCTCCCAAGGCTCCATCTTCAGTTACCATCACGTTGGAGATGAGGGCCTCAACTTGAATTATAGGAATTCAACATGAGTTCAGTTCATAGCAGGCTGAGACTGTCATTTGCAAATTCTTTCTAAAGAAGATCATTATTGATAACTTAAGGAATTCTGTATTTTGTTTTCTCGCTCAGTTTTTCATAGCCAAGGAATGAGCCAATATATGTTGGTGGCAATAACCTTACCAGCTTAGGAACCTAGAGTCACCGGTGGAGCTGGGAGAGTAAAACTTAGAGAAATTGAGCTATGAGCATGTTTTCCAGTTTTTTTCTAAGGGTTTTAATTTTAAGTTTTAATACTGGGTTGTTGGAAAAGTCATGATGCATTTTTGCAAAGAAAAACGTAGAAAAAATACGTCATGACTTTTCTGACAACCCAATAGTATTTGAGAAGAGGCGCCACTGGCCAATGAATTGGCGGAAGCCAGTGGATTGGTCAGACGATGACTTTAGATGAAGCAGTATTATAGGTTATGTACACCTGCATAACGGTACATTTTGCCTTTTTTGGAAACAGCATATTTTCTGTATTGTTCGAGGTAAAGGCTATATCAATATTTGAACAAAGAATTCTTTATAAGAGAAAACAATGTAAGAGTCAGAGGCAAAGAGGGTTTCTTTTGTCTCTTGAAAATATTTTACCTCTCAGCTATTACTTTCTAACTAAACCCAAAACATTGCCTGAAGTGTAGCAAATTTTCTTTCACTTGGTGTTCTGAATGATTAATTCCCTTGATCCTTTCTTTTGTGGCTCAGGTGCCTTGGCTTAGCCCATACCATTCTTTGAAACTGTCTTTAAGATCTCCACACTGGGTACAATTGCCTTCCTTTTTTTAATGTAATTTTTTATATGATTTTCTAAATTACCAAACTTCTTCTGAAGAACCACCACTTATGTGACTGAGAGCCAAGAATTAGCCATTTTTATGACACTAGGTTACCAAGCCATTTAAGTCTGGGCAGAAAGGTTACCTCTAGTAGGGATCAGGTTCTCCTGGGGCCAGCCTCAGAAGTTCAAACATAGAACAAGATAGCTGGCATTATATAGTGAGCCTCTTTACCTCACGAACCCATCTGCTCTGTTATAGGATAGTAGTTTGGCCCAGTGAGTAGTTTTCGGTGTCTTTAGGGTTGTTTTCTTTCCTGTTCCTTAGTTCCCAGGGCAAGTGAAAAATCAGAAAGAAAGAGTTGAACAAGCACAGATCTACTTAAAGTCCCGGTTCCTAATACCATCATCTTTGCCATTAGGATTTCAACACATGAATGGGGGAAGGGGGCGCACAGATATTAGACAATAGCATTTGGTGAACTACTTGTGAGAAGTAAATAAACTTGGATGTAGATTAAAGGATAGACATTAGTAGTTCTAAAGACTAACAACACACAGTTGATTTGAACATTTTGTTTTCTAGGTTAGAAAGGGCCATACATTTTTTTTCTTAAAATAAATATTTTTCCTTAGAGTCTTTTGAGGTGTTTGTTTAGTGAATCAGCAGATCTTCATGGAACTGTGTGTTAGACATTGTGGCAAATACAAAGATGATGTGATAGAATTCTTGCATTCAGTGAGCAAACTGTTGGTGTACACGAATCACTCATCATAAAATAGAACTTGGTGAGTAAAAGAAGTACTAAGAATGCAGCATGAAAATTTAAGAGAAGAAAGCAGTTACTTCTGACTTGAGTAAAATCAGAGAATACCTCAGACAGCAGGGTTTTGGTGTTGATAATTAAAGGGTGGTACTGGACAGAGAAGATAATGAAGTAACAGTATTTATCACTGTGAAGTGTTCGGTATATAATACAGAGCTCGGGTAGAAAGTGTATGACAGAATCAGATTCAGGAGGGCCTTGGATATGAAGCTCCTCTTCAGATTTTATTGGTT